CCGCATAGCATTTGTGGAAATTCGTTACAATCCCATCCCAAGTCATCATGTACGGAATTATTTTTCCTGCATTTCATCTCTGACCCAAGCTTACTAGCAAGTAGGTCATACTTTCGTTTTCTTGGTCTCGACTGCTGTTAACCTGTCCTGACCAGTGAGGATCACTTCACGTCGCTTCTTACCGTGTATCATGATATTCGGCCGACTCGCTTTTATTCTGATTGCAGTTCTCAGTTGCTTATCGACTCTGATCTCAACATTCTCATTCGCGACGACCTCCTTAACAGAATGGCTTGGGAAGCGCTTTCAGACCATACTTCTTGCAGAGTTGGATGCATCGTAGGACCTCATTGTGTCTTCCAGTATAATCGAGATACAGCATTTTTTCACACTGCGATGCTAGATAGTCGTCCATCGCCTTCACATGTTCCCTACAATGCCGGAACATACCTTTCTCAGCTACGAACATCCTGGAGGTTACAGTATCGTGCTTCATCTTGTGAGATAATGTCTCCGTATCGTAGCCATTTTGATGAATCAGCATGCAGGTTGCTTGTGAACTCCGTATTTGATTAGTAACTGTCTGATATCGTGATCTATAGCCTTGAAGTATTCTAGCTTCAGCTTAAGCACCTTGATGTAATAATTTGTCAAACCTATGACGTGCTCATTCACTGCCTTGGTAAAGTTCTTGCCATTTAGTGCAGTTTTAGCTAATCGCTCAATTATCACTAAAATCTATGCTCGGACTTTATCGTAGCTTTCACGGGTAGGTGCACTAGTCTTGTCTTCCACTAATCCATGGTATTTATATCCTAGATTTCCTTCCAAAAGTGCCGCTTTATCAGCAGATACCTCGGTAAGTAATAGTGGGCTGGCTTTGCTGAATTTACTTCTAGTCCTACCACATCAAGAAACCTTTCAACTTCTTCTGCCGTAGATTTCATGATATCCTCATTGGCCGGAAAGATCTTGGGATCGTCCACAAGCAACAGATGATTCGTAATGTGTATCCCTTGACCAGTTAAAACCGGCACCTATTGAGCCGACGGCTCAGCGGTCAAGACGAGTAGCACTCAGACAGAACAGAAATTTCTCGAACTAATTTACTCAAATATATGTCTAATTTGTTTGAAAATTAAAAGCTTAGAGACTGCTTTGTTTACAGAATCGAGAAAGGCATTATGCAGTGAATGAACAGGTTGACTGAATTGATAACCAACCTACTCAGATCCCTTTCCCTGTTTCGACTGCTCATATGAGACTGTTTTTGCACTATCTTCAAGCTTGACTTTAATTCGATGTGTAGATGTCACGGTTCATTTTCTTGAGTAACAAGCAGTTAATTGATTATATTTAGTAAAATCTTGTCAAAACTTAATCAGCCATCAAATGTTTGCACAGAATGAAGAGGATTTATGACAACAGAAGCATTGGAAGGAAAGAAAGTGCAAACTGAACCAAACAGTACTTCAGGAAGGAACACAGATGGCATTGGGAAACACCGTGCTAATCTGCAGGGTGTGAGAAGGAGGAGAGAGAAGAGAGATGCGTTGACAGGAGAGGGGGAGGGAGGGAAGACTAAGCATAGAAGACGTGGAGGAGGTTGAGAGTGTGGGAAGAAAAAAGTGAGTGCATGCACTGATAGAAAAGTATCGGTTTGTTAGATTTGTTCTTCAGAGAGAAAATTGCTTTCTCGCTTTAATCTTGCCAGTTTTTGTGCTGTATTTGGGTGAGAGTATTCCGAGATGCAGTGTAAACGTCTTCCTCTTCCATTCACATACGACTTTTCACCATCTCAGCTCAGCATTTTCTTGCGTGTCAGAATTACTTTTCGACGTGAGAAGTTTTAAGCTGTGCCAATTTTCGAGTTCGTTTTTCTACTTCTGCACATTGAAAAGAATCAGATTTGACCTTTGACGCTTAAGTACGCACTAAATATCTTCATTTTCTTCGTTGATTTGCTTTTCCATCGCTGTAGACTTGGCCAAAATTTGGTCAGAAATAGCAGTTATAAGTGATTATGATAGTTTGTGTTGCACTCTTTAATAATAAATTTTGGAACACAATTTGTCTTTCATAATTATATAGGTTTCTGTGGACACATCTTTAAAGTATTTCATTTTCAGTCACGATATAAAATGAGCAGGTACTAAAAATTAAGACTTTTCAATTGTGCTTGTACCCTTTCCTTAAATTATTCACTTGTATTTGTGTTATTTTTTTCTCTCTTCTCATTACTAATAATCTGCGTTATCTTCAGTGTAAATCGCTTTAGACAATTTTAGGTTTGAACTATTGCGTATGGAATTTAAAAAGGTATTAAAGAAGTTATCAGAAGCGAAGAAACTTGCATCAGGATATTATGTCGGTGGGATAATACTTTCACTTGCCTTTTTTATTTTAAAAATAACTAATGGTGTCTGCAATGTTGTTTTCAACATGGAAGGTGAATGCGGTCTCGATCACGTGAGCTTGATTTTGCTACCTAAATGTATACATCTCTCTTTATAACTTTTCAAATATTTTCTGTTTACTCTCTTTCATGAAAGGGTCATAACTGTGATTAGTTGCGTAATGCGAATGACATATGAAATTGCAGTCAAGAACATAATATTACTTGTTTCTTAGTATGTATTTTTTGACAATTTTTTTGCTAACTTTCATTTCAAAATTGTGATCATGGAATTCATTAGTGAAAAATTATCAGAGTTGATTTTATCAGTTCTAAATATTTGACTAATAAGTGTTGCTGTGAGGTGTAATTATATATATACAAATACTGCTGAAATTTTTTTAAATGTAAGACTGTTTGAACGCTATGAGTGCAGCTAAGCACAGTTTCTAGATGTTTTAGTTTCTGAATTGTTTAGAGAACTTAGCTCGTTTATTAAATGCTCAATCACGTTATGTAAATGTTGAAGAATGGCTCATTGTTTTATTCATTTATATAATATTGTTAGTTAATTAAATTTGTTTACTTGCAGAGAGAGCATGAAATAATGGTATTTCTTGCCATTATAGTATTTTACAAAAACAGGAAGGCAGCTAATTGGATGCACTGTTTAGCGAATATGTTTATGTTCTGCAAATTAGCTAATATTTATTTGTTTGTACGTGCCGATCTTATTACTGGTGTTATTTACATTTTTATGTGTTTAAGTAAGCTTTGTTTAGCTTTTTTTAATTTTTCGCCTCAAGTTACTAAATACTTCTGTTTTAATTTCAAAATTTTATGAAATTAATTTAAACAAAATGGTCTTAATGTTCGGGATTTCGTTAACCATATCCAAGCTACTTATTGATTTAATCGAATACTGTCACTCAAAATAAATTCTATTTCTTTAAAATTCATATTAACATAGTTTCGAGGAGTAAATAATCAATCACCTTATACATTATGCATAAATTAACATTTGTGGTTTTGGTTATCTTGATTAATTTTTCAGTACATTCAGTTTTCTTCCCAGAACCAGTTCATGCAGAATCCGGCAAGACAATCATTTATAACAGTTCTGAGTTATATGTATGTGTCATAAATATTCATTGATCTGCTGCATCCTTATCTATCTTACTGATGGTGTTTTGAGGATGAAATTCAACGAAATACACGAATAACATGGATAATTTTTTTCTACACTGCTTGGTCTCCTGACTGCAAACATGTATCTCCAGTTTTCGCCGAATTGAGTGACAGGTAATTTTTTCTCAGTTAGTTACGAGATTTGTTGAAGGTTGTTTCTCAAAATGTAATCTTTTATAATGTGATATTTAATTCTCATATGATTCTTAAGGTTTAATTTGCCAAATCTTCGTTTTGCCAAGTTAGATGTGGGTAGATGGTCTCAGGAAGCAAATAGATTTCGAATTAATGCGCATCCAACCAGTAGACAATTGCCAACTGTAAGCATTTTCATATTTGTGTTCTATACTGTTATTGTTTGTGATGAATCCCATTTTTGCAGATCTCACTTTTCAAAGAAGGAAAAGAAGTGCAGCGGCGTCCCATAGTACGAAATCGACGTGCTGTGCCTTTCACTTTCAGTAAAGTAAGCTTAACACATAGAATTTCATGTTCACTGTGTCCGTGAGAGTATACGGAACGTAATATTTTTTTTGTTTTGTTTTTTCAGGAGAACTGTGTTCTTGCATTTGATCTTAATAATTTATACGAAAAGTGCAAGCTGAATATGACCAAAAGTGAAAAAGTGCAAATTAAGAATGAAGGGTCAACGAAAGGGAATTAAGTTGGCACTTTTACTTGATTGCAGTGGAAAAGTACTATATTTTATGAAATAGATGATATAGTAATTTCTTTGTTTTGATGTTACCTGTTGTATTTGTTGATGATTATAGAATGTGTGAAATCAGTTCGCAGTTGTGTTCGATATTGATCCATATTTTTAACTGATTGTAAAACATTTTTTCTCCATTTTGTTAAAATCCATCTGATAAATATAATAGTGACTCAGTAATTTTTATTACTAGTATATGTTTGAGTTAAAATTTTGTGTTGCATGATGTTCGAGAAATCTTTGTAGGTTTTGCTGTTTTGAAAATTCAAATTTTCAAAGCAGTCAAATTTAGAAAAAGTATAGCTTTAAATGCAGAAGGGTTAATCATTATTTGATATGTTCTGATTCGGAAAGGGAACTAAATGGAAGGTAAGATGCTTAACGTGCTTAAAAAAGAGAATGGAAATAAATAATTATACTGTCTGCAACTAACAATCCTTTGGTAGGCTATGTCAATTGCTTTTAATATTATATATCTAGTCCATTTTGGCTGAAGTATTGCACACATTTCCAGTCTTTGTTTTGCTAATTGTCTTTAAAATTCTTTACTTGGGTACGATTAATAAGATTCACATTTATTTGAGTCGATTCACTGCTCGTAAAATTTTTAGCTACTTTTTCTGAATCTTACACTGCAAAATGAGCTAGATATTGGCCTAGGTAACACTAATGTCAGAGTATCAGAATGGTTCCTGACTCCATTACCATCATCTTAAATCTTTGCACTTTAAAAATAGTATGCGAGAGCCACAAGATGACCCTTGAAATACGTTACACAAAGGTCATTAGCTCAAGTAAATGGGTCCACTTCATTTGACGCAATAATTTTCTAAAAGTGGGTGTTGTCCATATGCATTCATATGTATATATTTTAGATCAGTGAAGTGTTTATGGTTTAGTTTATCTTCTTTATTTTCAACAATTCCATCGTGGTTTCTTCATCACGTCACTTCTGCAACTTTATGATTTTTCTTCAGTTTTTCTCATCAATGCAATTACATGGTTGTATTCAGAGGACGACTTGATGTATTCATTATTCTGTCTCACATCCATTATTAATAAATTAATAATAAATTGTAGTATTTTTCTACGATATGTATCAAGCGTTACTTCCACAAATTTATTAAGAAATTTAATTCTCTCCTTAACTTTTTGAAGTCATTTAAAATAGAAAATGTCACTTCTGTTGCTTGACATTTAAAAATTTTTTGTCATTTTTTTAGCGTTTGGAAAAACATCGTATTGAAAAGCCGCTGTTTCGCACGATTTATCACATTCATTCCTATAATTTTTGTAACAGTGGAATTCTTAGTGATTGCATTATTAATGAAGTGATGTTACTGTCATGCTCAATGTGTGTTGCATTGCAAGAGGTTGTTTCCTCGCTGACCGTAATCAGTTGTAAGTAACGCTTGCTCACAAATAGCAGAAATTTTGGGAAAGACGATTTTTTAAGAAATTTTTCAAATTTTGTATGGTTGGTTTTGGCTTTCTCTTGACTTGACTTCATTATTGCTTTTGTAATGAAAAGTCATCATAAAGTTCAACAAATATCATTTTGATGTACTTTTGATTCGCAATTTCAGCACATTATCTGTTCTACTCATTAACTCTGACTAGTCCTGAGTACCAATTTGTTCATTCTGAATTCGCAAATTTGCATTGGTAGAAAGTGCGAATTATTGCAGTTAGTTAAACAGCTCATTGCATCATATAATCTGTACTACATAGATATTCTTAATCCATCATTTTCTCCTTCCTAACCTTCGTCTTAATTTACAAAGTAAACACCAGGGACTAAGTTATGCTTAAATACAGTAGCAATAATGCTTTTTGTACACTTTTAGTGCTTAATTAGGTAGGTCGGTTTTTATTTTCGTTATTATTCATCTGCAGTTTATTTCACTGATCATTACATGCTAATAAAAAATATCATTAGATATAAATAATCATTTTCCGAAAAATCATTCATATGAATCATTGTTTGAAGATGAAATAGTTTATATATGAGATGTTTGACAGATATTCGAATTTATTGAAGCTAGTAAATGTATAGTTCAGAATTTGATTAATAAGTAAGTTACTAATGCAAAAACCATGAAAGGTACCTTTCTAAAGTTACCTAAAGAGTGTGTATTGTCAAGTTATTTATACAAGCCAATATTATCTTTGAGAGAAACGTTTTGCAATGGGAAATTTTTTTATTTTATTTCAATGACAAGTTGCTTTAGATTGATTAGTTCACCAGATTTTTGCGAGAACTTACTATTCAATATTCTTGTAAGCTAAGCTTATATATTTTCCGATAATATTATATTACTACCATATGGTCTCTCTCAACCTCTATATATAGGTAATTGTTTGAGCAAATAACACTTACATCAAGTTAATTAGTCATTAACATTCATGAATTCATTACCTAAGCTCCTTATTCTTTCCCTTAATTTTTTCAAGCTAATTAAATACTGCATTCCACTTTTTTAGCCTTTTCACGTAGACGAAAACGAGTGAGTGAATAGGTTGAAAACTATCAGTTACTTACCTTTACTAAACACAAAATGAAATTATTGTATTTATTGCAAATCATTACGAGAAAGAAGGGCTTGTATGAATTATTTGCAATTACTGCGCATGTTTTATCAACAAAAAATTTTATTTGCCGTTTTCGTTGTTCTTTTTGAGAGCAAACTTCGCAAATGAGTTTATTACAAAAAAATAAATTGTCATAACTATTCCTCTCGTACAGTCATTACAAAATTTTCAGCAAATATTAAGACATTTTAGCAAGTTGCAATGTTTGCGTTTCATTTTCAAACTTATAAAAGCTTAAAAATGTAATTATTTAATATAAACATTCTAACAGCGCCATTATGTCACTATAAACTATATCTAATCAAATGTAAGACATCTTTACTTGGTTGTTCATCTTTAAATTCTCAATAGTACAATCTTTGTACTCATTATTATAATTTACATTTTTTTTAAATAGTCAGGTTTATTTTATGCTCGACTGGTGACAGAAAAAAATGTCTGAATACTTCTGTAACGCAAATAATGATTCACATGAAAATTATCCGTCTCATGTTGCGGAGGACTACTTTTCAAAATGCAGGCGTTTGCGATCACGTAGACAAAAGAAACAAACTCTCCACTTTTATGAATTAAGGCGTAAAGCAGCAAATGAACGCGAACGAAAACGAATGAATAGGTTGAAAACTATCAGTAGTTATCTCTGCTAGACGAAAAATGTTCAATAACTATTATGAAAAGCATCAAAACAATCTCGATAATTTTCTTGAAGAGAAAGGAAAGTTTGCTATAAAATTTGGCTTAGCACTCTGAGAGTGCTGCGTGAATTATTTTGAGACAATGAAATAACGCATTTAAAATACTTCACACACAAATTTGCTAGTATGTAATTGCAGAAATTTACATATTTTGTTTAATTTTTAAACGAATTGCAGCATAAATGAAGCTTTTGATAGACTACGACATCTGCTACCACTGCTTCCACGTGACCGTAAATTAAGTAAAGTTTCGACGTTGCGTGAAGCAATACGTTATATAAAACAATTAAATCTGTTGATTAATGATGGAAATGCTGCAAGTACAGGGGAATTACCACTACACTCATTAATCGCAGTGAATTCAGAAGTGGAAAGGCCACCATTGCTTGTACCGAACTCCGATGGTATTTGTATTTTAATTTATATTAATTGTCATTCATTTTGCTTCAGCACCATTCACTCTTAATATAATATTGCTGTCAAACATTATAATTGGCTTCGAAGTCCATTCTTGATATTTGTAAAGAGCACAGTTGTATCTTAAATTGATCAGAAACTGAGATAATGTTTCTATTACAAATTCAGACTCAAATTTTTATAAATTAAGGTCAAAAAAAGCAACTTTGTTGAAATACCATACTTTCAAGTTTCTTTATCTTCTCAATCTTTTTGTAAAAAATTTTGATTGCTGTTCGAGGAGTGATTGCAGCCAATTTACCGGTGAAATATATTGAGCTTTCCTGTCACAACCAAAGGATAGACGAATTCAACAGCACAATGAAAACCGAAAGTGGTGCCATGCAAGGTAAATGCAGTAAAGTTTGGGTGCCAAGCATACCTGAAACCAACAGAAGCGCCAGAGATTTTGATCCCTCTTATCAGTCAATCAATCAGTTATTCAGCTAACTTATAACATCTTTATTTTTGCAAACATTCGATAGAAAAAGTAATCTTATAGAATACTAAGATAGTGTTACGAATTTTTTAGGGATATATTTTTATGATAGAAGCCTTTTAACATTTTATAAGATAGCTGACATTAATTTCTGTAATATTAATTTTGATTACATTGGAGGGTTGTCTATTATAATCATTGTTGTCAGTACTATGATTATGGTTTTTTCATTATACTTGTCAATGTTCACTGGTTTGATTTTATTATGTGCAAACTCGGATACCATAAAAGTGAGTGCATTAAGTAGACTGAGCCATCATTACTTTCTTAAATCCAAAAAACTTTTTCATAATTATCTCCATTTATCAGAAGTAGCAACTTGCAGTTCTTGCCTACTATTTCACAAATTATTGCTGCTGCAAAGTATTTGAATTTGGTATTGGTCGCTATTTTGCAGAATCATAATAATAGCAATTTAAAACAAATATTTGTCTTTTCACTGTTTACCGATCATAACCGATCTTTGTTTTGGCTCATAGAAGAATTTTTGTGGTAAAATTCCCAAGATATCATCGATTAACGCTTGTGTTGAAGGTGGATCATATGCACTAATCTAAGAGATGACAATAGCGGAATATAATTCATTTCTTTTTGATCATGAGTTAAATTATGAAGAATTGATTACTTTTCAATAGTATTTGCCATTTCTTGAATAAATATCATTTACTCGAGAAGCATTTTTTCTCAACTCAGTTCAAATTAACAATAAAGCAAATCTCGCTTGTCTTCTGGAACGACAGTTCAACTGTGATATAGGTGGTGAGCAAAAATACTTTCCATGCTTATGCTGCCTAGTGTAGTCGATAAAAAACTGAAAGGAATCGTGAATTAATTTCCATTAATCACTCCGCAACGCTAACTTTAGCGTCACAAATTGATCCAACTAATAATCATTAAAGAAACAGGCAAGCTTTCTGTGTTTGCCACAATAATGCAGATAACATGTGAATTATCAACTGCTTGATAATACAACATTAGGCGGAAAAAATGGTGATTTTGTTATTTGCATATTTATTTCTATACTCGATAGCAGCAAAATAGGAGTTGATCTTTTCGAAATTACTTCGAGCAATTAAATCTTGCGATAAGCGAATATTGAAGCAGGTCTGTCAATGAGCACTGCAATTTACTTTCAGTAGTGAAATTATTTATTGATTTATTTAATTTTCGGTGTTGTGGAGTTTTTATGGATGGATTGGTTTAAGAAGAAAGAAGTGATATTTTCCGAATGAAGAAATAGCTGTACACACATTTTGTGGTTGTCTGAAGTAAAGTGAGTAAGAGTGCAGCATAAGGAGAGGAGAGCAGCCTGTGCAAACTGTGGGTGAAATTTGGATGGAGATGCCCGTCAGAGGTGAAATATTTGGTAATCGTCGGAAATCGCCTTAACTTACATTTAATGCCTATTTACGATGCTGAAGGATTACCAACATTGTGAGCAGAGAGAATAAACATGAAAAGTCAAACTTTTGCATCATGGCAGTACTCAAGCAGTGCGAGCAAAATTTGTCCACACTCCGATAGAATGAGCACTCTGACGCGCTATTTACTTGCCACTACTTTCTTTTTTGCAGGTATTTTTGGAGTAAAATGTTTGCTTAATTAATAATAATGAATAAAGTCTGCAGTTTTATAATGACTCACTGCTCTAATTACTGCAGTGATAGCTAAATTAAGATGAATATAATAATTAAATGTCAGAATGCCAAGGATTGATTTGTTATTCTTGTAATTCGCTGTTTGGTCCATGTGACGGTAACAGTTGTCGAACAGTACCTGGTGGCGTCTGCTTGTTTCGTATGCTATTTTCATCCACTCATTCTTATTTTGATGTTTTTATTGAAAATTCTGTCATATACAGAAGATCGTATTGTATCACAAACTGGGCAATGTATTGAAACGTAATATTTTCTGCTTGCACAGATCCCGGAATAAAAATAAGCTTTCAAATTTGACCTCTGAAAAAATGTTTCGTCTGACTATGATTTATTAACAGCGAGAAAAATATTTATATCAGTTTTAAAATGAATTTTTCAAAACTTATTTCACTTTTAGAACAAATAGTCCGTTTTGATGGTTACATAATGAATACAATACGATCTTGTCTTGATTCAAACCGCATTACTAGTGGACCGCTGTACGTATCACAAACTGGGCAATGTATTGAAACGTAATATTTTCTGATTTTATTCCAGCAAGACACTGCTTACCATATTAAATACTCGAAAATTATTTACCAATGCAGCATTTTATTATAAAATTTAATTATAATGATTATTATATCATTAAAATATTTCATTTTCGGTTGTCTACAATCAAAAAAAATACTAATAAAGTAATAAAAATTTAGTAATAGTTTGCATGTATAATAGCAACAATATATTTTAAATTGTGCTTTCGAAATGATCGAATTCAAAGTAGTATTCAAATGAGTATAGATCAAATAACTCATTTCATGATTTTTACTCGGGACAGAATGCTTTGTATTATATCGCCTAAAAACCTAATTATGATAGTAAAAAAATTATAATAATTGTGCAGTGTCTAAAAAATCACTATCGTAATTTTTTGGAATTCTTTTTGCTCCTTTTTTAATATTAATGATGCAACCATAATAGAAGACCCAGTAATTTCTTACTATGTTAGTACTTATTTTTAAGTTATAATTCAGATGTTATTTGTGTTTGTGCTGAAGCGAAGCAAAAAGTTAAAAAATATCATTATAAAGTAAGAGTTTTTCAATAGAGAGTATTTTAAGCGTTGATGCAAAAGCCGATATCACATACAGAACTTATCTATGTGATCATCAAAATTACTGCAATGCAGAATGCCATCCAAAATTATCAATCAAATCAACTACTTCACTTGCGCGTAATCATAACAAAATCAGATCATAATCATTTTTGTAAAATACAGTATTCTTCTTCAGCTCTAAGCCAATTAAGAATGTTAAAACTCAAATATATTCAAATCACATTTTGTAAAATAAAAATTTGCATATGTAAGATACCAAAATCAATTATTTTGGAGTTCTTGCAGACAATCTTAGATGTTATCAGTGTGATGAATTTGAACTGGATTGTTTTACTCATCAGTGTACCATCGCTAATGGATATTGCTTCTTTCGTAAGCTATTGATTCTCATATATGACTTTTCAGTCAATAATTACTGATAATAATTCTGTAAATTGTCAAACATTGATGTGCAGTAGAATAAATTATAATGTTGGCAATGCATATATCCTTAATAATAACTTCCAAATTTCTAAAAGTAATTTACTCTTAAGGATCAACATCAGTAATAAAGTTCTTCTTATTTTTCATTTGCAATTCTAAATATAATTTTCATTCAAATGCTAAAAAATGAAAATATGATTTGCATAAATTCATAAATATCATTTTAGCATTATAGCTAAGGAACTTTTCAAAACTTTGAAAAGATTAAAATTCAAAAAGACTTCCAGAACTTTTCAATGTCACGATTGATGGTGTAAGAAGCATTCATTACAGTAAGGACTGCATCACCAATCCAATTGCTAGAATACCTAATGGTCAAATTATTACAGAAACAAACAGATGCATTTTCAGGCAATAATTTGTAGGCATGAATACAAGTTTATTTTTTTGTGTGAAACGAAACTTCTGAATTGAAAATCAATTTACAGAGGGAGATTTTTGTTTAACTGAATTGTCATCAGTTCCAGTATAGGATGAATTAGGATGGATTAGATTGAATTTTTATATAAGTTAGTTTTGTAGTTTAAATTATAAAAATGAAATCAGGTTGAAGAAAGTAACTTTTGATGTAGTTCTAAGATCTTTCAAATCTAATTTAAAATATATCTCAGAAGCTATTGCAATTATTTACTGTACTCATTAATTGCAGTAGTGATGTATTTGAGAATCGCTTCTACACACTGATTTGCAATGATACTCATATGTGCAATGCTGAATGTGCCACCGAATCAACTTCATTACCGATACCTGTACTACCACAAATTCCTGAAAGACGACAGTCATCTTCCTCGACGAATTATGATTTGCAAACAATACTTTTCGGTACTGTACTGTCTGCCTTATCAGATTTTTTAAGAGCATAGAAAATTAAAATGGAAAAATAATTTTTCTTCACTGTCACCGAAAGGTGAAGATTATACTTGTGAAAGCACTTATGTACCGTTATGTAGTAAAGTGAGTTGTCGTGATGAATGAATGAATGGATGAATGGATGAATGAATCAATGAATCAATGAATAAATAATGAGTAAATAAATAAATAAAGATTAACAGATGATTGTCGTAAGAGAAAAAATGCATTTATTAAATTATACAGTAAAGTTTTGCAGGAGAAAATTGAAATAATAATAAGTGAAATCGAAATCAGAAATATTTTTACGAATTTTGCATATCTGTAATAAAAACGAACTAATGTAAAACCAAAATAGATAGAAAATCGTGGCTGATTGGCTGAGCAAGCAAAAAAGTGAATGTCTTTATGAAAAATTGACTGATTCAGTTAGTGTGAATAAGTGATATGGAATAAATTATCAAGACCCACTAGTAAGTAATAATGATTTGCAAACAATACTTTTCTGTGCTGTACTGTCTGCCTTTTCAGACTTTTAAGAGCATAGAAAATTAAAATGGAAAAATAATTTTTCCTCCAATGAGCAGTCAAAGTATTTGGGGTTACGGGTCACACTAATATTAGTAAACAGATATGCTATAGTAATCGTTGATAGGTTGGAAATAGTGAAAAATGAAGGTCCTGCATGCTATGGTAGTTTTTAATTGTATTGCACCAACAAGGAGCATTTATAGTTTTTACATCTTTGGTAATACCATCTAACTGAAACGCATGATATGCAAAGACGAATGCAGGGATTTTCGCAAGCCTTTACTAGAATGGAAAGATAATAATTTTTCCTTAATGATGCTAGAATCCACGTTAACATCTTCAATATTTGTTATATATCGGAGATGATATATTTTAGGAACAGCTTGAAAGATACTGTCTTACAACGATTAATAATTTTGTCTTTATGGAATCAGTAGCAACAATAAAAATAAAACTATTAAAATGAATGGATAGTAAACTTTGTGAGCAATGAAATGTCTTCTTGAAATAAGCTTTCCTCTACATTTATCAGCGGAATAATTTCAAGTAGCTGCTATTTGACTTATATCTCACATTTGATACAAAACTAGATCAAAAGCTCCCAACTTGCAAGCCATTGCAAAATGCACAAAATGTCTTCAAGAAGATTACTCTTCTGCTTTTTCTGTGCTGTGAACTAAATTATGTTGGCGTAGCAGCAATTATGGAAGAAGAATAAAATAATTCAACTTCATTAATTCATTTTCCAAGCAATATGATCAATGCCATTCGTGTAATTTAAAAATATTTTAGAACATTTTTGAACATATACACTTGTTTTTGAATTTAAGATCCCATCGTCAAGCGTTGCGGTACATTAAGTATAACAGACTATCGAGTCGTCATAAATCGTTTTGTGTTTATGAGCGTGCATATTGTTAATATGATCCAGTAAATCAGAAGTAGAAAAGGCGTGTGCCCTCTTGTTGACAAACATTTCTAACAGCACAATTAAGTTTCAGGAGATATGCAATTTCAAAACGGAAAGTGCTTGCTAACATGTGACACAAATTTTACTCTCTCTCTCTTGATAACACGCGTAAATTAACTATAGTTCATCAAAAAAGCTAATTTGACGTAATATTTGCAATCAAAATTGTACATTTTTAATAAAATAATTGGGCTACGCCTCTACTTCAGTCTGCTCACTCATTTTTAAAAACTATCCAAACTTAATATTTTCTCGAATAAAAGATTCTTGCATTGCGCACAAGCACAGGTGTGAAAAATAGCGTAGTTTGAAATGACGACGAGCCCAGTAGCAACCAGCATTCAAGAGTTTAAAACATGTTCACGTCGAAACATACTTGTAAGACTAAAGACTAGGCATTTTCATTTGGCGTGGTGATATCTTTTGCGCTAAATTTAGTTGAGTTAAATTAAAATTTTGGCTCTTTTTTGACTGCGCACAAGAAAAACAACGCAAGCGGTTCTAGATGGCCCCAGTCCACAGGTAAGCGCATTAAATTTCAGTATTTGCAAAACATTCGCTGAAAAAATCAACAGTTGGACTGGGATTGATTCAAGTAACATTGAACAGTGGCAGTTATGAAAAACACTGGAAACAGAGTGGTGAGAGAGAAGAATCTTTGCGAACTTCTCTCCGTGACTGTTGACTTGTGAGATGTATTAGTAGTGCTGCTTGCAACGATATACAGTGCTATTGTGTTTAAATATCCAAAAGTACTGCCTTTTTGAGTTTACTTTGCGCACTTTTTAAATTTTCAGATATATCATAAATGATAAGTGAGTGGATGTTCTCACTACTCGATATTAATTTTATTTTCGTTCTGATTTGCCATTTTGAACTGAGCAAAAAGATCCAGATCGTGTGGTCGTGCTCGCAACTGAATATATTGAGCATAAGCACACATGAGGTATCTGAAATATAGAAGTAATGAGCAGGGCTGATAGAGACAGTTTTTGACTCACATCAATCTGAGGGCGAAATATACTAAATATCTGCAAGATCATGGAAATTAACTTACAAACCATAATAATAATAACTTATATACAACAATGACGCATGGAAGCAGATTCCATTTTCGGAAAGTACTACCGATATTTTAATTGTTATTTTTAACCAAACAATCAAGTTTGATTTTTATAGGTTCTATAAGTAATGAAAATCATGAATAGTACAAAAGTGATATTATTATCATTACGTATTATTTTCTGAAGTATATATATTCATCTACTACGAGTGCACTACGTCGTGGGAAAAATGACAAATTTAGTGCTAAATTATTCGGTCAGTACTGTTTACAAAAGAAAAACTGCCTCTGAAGTGGGGAAGGTGGAACATGCCGTGTTTTATATAACGGCCATAAGTTTATTTCGACTTCTCTCTCGTTTTTTAAGCATAGGTGCATTTTATCAGAGTGAGATGGTTAGCTTCCTGATTAGAAGTAGTTTTGGAGCAAAACTTATCTCTTCTCGTAGAAGTCGTGGTCATTGTAATTTAAAACTTAATAATGAAAAGATACAAGAGATAGCGTTTGTAATAATTATTTTGGGAAGATCAAAGTTAATCACAATGATTATGGTCTTTGTGGAAGAGAGGGCAAGAAGGATGCAAAGATGCAGGGAAATTATAAATTCAAAATCTATGTGGTTATTATTCACAATATTGATAACTTTTAGAGCATGTCACTTCAGAAGTTTTTTAAAAGAGCAACTTAAAACTAGGTTGTTTACTGCAGTGTATTTTAAATAAAATTTTTTTGGACAACTCTGAATGAAAAGAACGTTTGAATCTAGAAGATAATGAAGAGCTGAGAAATAATATATAGTATGTTAAAAAATTTATTTTTTTGTATTCTTTAATGCTGAAAAGAAGTTGAAGGTAAGCGGAATTGTCGGGACAGTTTTTCGCTATTGTAAAATTTGACTATGTGATCAAAAATTTGAAAGCAGAATTTGAGATGAATTAAGTTTATATTGTATTAGATAAGAATATTGTTTATACATGAGGGTAACTTTCATTATGAAATGGAACTCATATTAATTTAATAGTAATTCAGGGATACTGTTTTTCGTATTCTTATTCTTGTATTCCATTAAAATTGTTAAAGTGAATTAGTTTTCAAGCATTACAATACTTCTCAAATGAGCGATTATCAGCGCACCTCGTGGAATAGGAAATCTGGAAATTCAGCTTCAGTCGGTGTGCAAGGTTTGTTTGTTGCTCATTAAGTATTATTATGCTATTATTTGACGATAATTTCAGTATTTTTGTTCCTTATTATATTTTACTGCTTTGTGAATTATTAGTTGTGTCTGATTGGGTAAGACAGCATAAATAGTGAAACTATGAAATAACATTTTTTCCCGAGGAAGAAGTTGAAATCTTAACTTATATTTTTTTAAATAACTTTTTCTCGTCCTCTAAATTCATTTTTGCCTAAATTTAGGGAATAAGACCGTAAAGAGCAGACGTATTATGCCTAAAAGAAAAGCAAAACTGTCGTCGTCAGTTTGTGACCAAAATATGTTCGATGTGCATTCTCCTGTGAAGAAGCGTAGACGAATTTCAGAAGTGCTTCAGCAGTCTACAACGGTACCAAATGCAAAATTAAACATGAACCTTGATGAAGTAATTGTTTTTGTTTTTTTCGCATTTAGTTTTTTTGTTTCTGCCTACTTTCAGTATACCTAAGAAGTTTCATTATAAACAGCTTTTGAAGATACTTGTAGTATGGAAAATAATTACACTTAAATTGCAGTTTGGATTTGAAATCGAAAGTGAAGAGGTAGCATTGAGCACCGAAACATCACAGTTGTCATCACTGTGCACCTCAGGTGTATCGTCGCCACTTCCATCAACAGTGATTGCCTTACCGAAAATTTTAGATCGAAAAATTTTGTAGGTTACAAAATTAAAATGTTTCAAAAGATCCTGTTTTCATGGGATTCCAGTTAGCTTGTACATGAAAGTAGCAGTTTTCGACAATCATTCTTTTACTATTTAAAAAACAAGGCTGTATTCAACGTTGTTTTAAAAATCATATAATGTAAAAAGTTAGCTACTTCACTAGAAAAAAGCAAATTATTCAGAGAAAAGCCTGGGACAAAGTCTGGTTTTGGCGAAGAGCGGATCATTATCTCAAATACTGTGAACGATAATCTTAGAAATATTCCACGTGCTAAAGATTTGGTAACTCAAACGAGTAGTTTATCGTGTCGTAGTTTAAGAAAACCTGTGATCAAACTCAGGCACTTTGATGTTCTTTCTGGCATCAAACTAATGAATAAAGAAGTGCTTATTTAATAAGTTTCATTGCAAAAACCCTTATGTCTATAAAATTTTGGAAGACCAGCTACTTTTTTTTCTTGGGTTTCGGATTTACGAATTGTGAATTGTAAAAAGATATATTCTTTATTGACGTTTAATTTTAGCATGCTATTCCTCAACATGATTCTGAAGCTACTGGAAAAAATGGGGGATCCGTTGCGGAACCAAATGAAAGAGAGGTACATTCTGTAGTTAGTTTGGGTCGTGCTGTGAGAAGCATACGAAAAGCTAAAAGGTAACATGGAGAACCTTGCAAGTTTATAAAGAGACGGAAAAAAATATCCTTAAACTTTCAGGCTTATGAAGAAAAACTCAAACCACAGAAAAACACGAGTAAACACAAGTTAGTTTTAGCATTACAGTATTTTAGAAAAGAAGCATACTGTATGAAACAAAAGTTTTGTTATTCTTTATTATTGGGTGAGATAAGTTTAAACTTTCAAATCATATATAAATATGTACTATTTTTAATATGTGAGTTGTATGCATACAGATTGTAGTACAGATAGCTGTGTAAAATTGCTGAATATAATATTCTATTAGAATCTTGTTAATGGAGTGTTTATTTGCAAGATTCTCAGTTAGTTGCACTCATTGTTTACGAAATCTTCCTTTGTGATTACATTCAGTGTTTTAGAAGAGAAGACAGGAAAAAAAGGTTTTGAACGTGATATTGTGTCGGAGTTTTCATCGAGGAAGACCCTTTCAACACAGGTGTGTACTTTTTCTTTCTTTTCTAATGTTTGTTCGGAAATTTTATTTCTTACTTTTTCAGGAATCAACTAATTTGATGTAGTGTCTATGGTTTTTTGTTTTAGTGCTGGATGACTAGTGTTCTCTTAAAATGTTCTATATTTTATTCTGCATAATGTATCTGTCATAGCTCTAGATGTAATTTCTAATATCAGCACAAAAAAATGTTGGAAATTCTGTATATTGCTGTGCTAAGTCTTTTCAGAAAGTTGAAACCGTAGAGGATATTTACCGCCGTTTACAGACCTCTGAGATACCAGAACGATTGCCGTGTCGTGAAGCAGAATTTGAACAGATATGTTCATTTATTAAAGGATGCACTGGTAGTGGTGCTGTCTCGCAAACAATGTATGTAAGTGGTGTTCCGGGTACAGGGAAAACTGCAACTGTATTACAGGTAATTTAGTTTTTCGAGCATAAAAAAAGGTGATAACAGACATGAGCTCGTTACTGTCTGATTTATATGTATATATATATACATCTTATATCTTCGGTATTATTGCTATGAGATTGAATCATATCTCTATTATTTATGAAGTTTTTCGAATGTATTCTCCATAATCCGCTACAGGATTGAAATATGACATATATTTTCAGGCTGTGCGTTACTGTAAGCTTGTAAAAAATATTAAATTTTCTTTTATTACTGTTAATGCAATGGAATTGGATAATCCGAAACAAGTATTTGTACAAATCTATCAAAATTTACTGGATGTAAACAAGAAGATCGCATCAAAGTGAGTGATAGAATTCGTACCATTGTTTTTGAGAGGATCACTGCATGGTGCATAACGACCATCGGTGTTCGTACGAGCTTTATCAAAGCTTCATAATCGTTTTGTTTATCAGTGTTTCTTACTTCATATTACTTTGTCCCCTTCAAATATAAAACCAAACTAGGCTTTTTAGATTTAAGATAAATTGGATTTCTGAATCCGCAAGTTTTTGTATTGAGTTCATATAAGAGATACTTTATATGTACTGTTTCAGTGTAGCGCGAAAGAAGTTAAATGAAATTTTTCAATATCGCGATAGGAAGCGTTTACCAGTTATCATCTTGGTGGATGAGGTTAAAGTTTGTTGAAACTCTTGTGTACATTTTGCAATTTAATCCTTCAGTTTATTATTTCAGTTGGACTTGCTAAAAACCACAAAACAAGAAATTATTTATGACATATTCAATTGGTCAGCAAATGAAGAGTCTGCAGTGAGTGTCATAGCCATTGCAAATACGCTTGATCTTCCAGAAAGACTTCTTTCACGACGCATTTCTAGTCGATTAGTGAGCTTTTATTCTTCCTAAATGTAAAATTCTGATCTATATCTAAATGTTATTTTCCCTAAGAATAAATAAACTGTTTTAGAGTTCACAGGACGTTTTTTCGTTTCAGGGAGCTAATAGACTCTGTTTTCAACCTTATGGTCATGAGGAAGTGGGATACATTATTCGTGATCGTCTCCAAGGTTCATCTGCTGTTGAAGCAGAAGCTGTTGAATTATCAAGTCGAAAAGTAAGAAGTCGTTTTTCAGTTGATAGATGCTTATAAGAGTTTTTTTGTGTGGTAATTATATTTTAGAGGGAAAAGATATACTGGTTCTTATATATATGTCATTTTTATTCCAGTTATTTTTTTTTGTTTTTTAGTTATTTTATATATTATTCCATTGAACAGATAAACTTTAGGTTGCTGCTGTCTCAGGTGACTTACGAAAGGCGTTGGATATCATGAGAAATGCTGCGCAACTCGCTCTTACTGCAAAGCAGAAGCAAATTACGATGAAAAATGTAAGGTTTTTTGTACTTCCAATTATTTATTAAATTATTGTTACTGATACAGTGTCATTCATGATCTGAAGTATTATTTAGGTTCAAGAAGCTATTCGTCTAGCATCTACAAATGTTCGAGTAGACCTTATACGCTCCTTACCATTACATTCTATATTACTTCTTCGTGCTGCCCTAGCTGAACAAATCACCTCAGGTTTTTTATTTATTTTAATATGCATTGTGTGAATAATTTTTGCATAAATATATTTTAACTGTTTTAAATTGCTTCTAAGAGCTATTTCTTTCAAGCAAAAAAAATGACTTGATTTATGGGTTGGAATCAAATTTAGTATTTTCTTTTTTGCGGAAGTTTTCAGGATTGGATGAGTTTGAGTTTCGCATTCTTTTTAAGCAATATCAGTTACAGTGCAGTGTTGAGAATATAATACCAATAAGTACAAGTTCTGCGTATCGAAATGTTATGGAAATGTGCAGGTGATCTCTTAATCACAGATATCAATGTTTTGGTGGTATAAATGTTAAATTTTATCGATATTCTTGATTAAAAAAATTGCTCTTTTTTTTTAGTGAGCGATTGTTAGTGGCAATAGCAGGAACTGGAATAATGTCTCGACGTTTGTGCCTTGGAATGACAACGCATGATGTACAGCTTGCTTTTAAACAAGTAGATAAATTGCCTTTATAAAAATATTTTTCAATCTTTTATTTAATGTGATAAAAATGTGATGAGCAATAACCAAGTTTTGGGAGACAAATTGAGACATTTCACACAGAAATATGAGGATCATATTTAAGATTAAATTTTTTCTTTGGACATTCAAACTTGCTCTCTCATATTTGCTGTTACATCATGTAAGTTATGTCAAAATTTATAAGACGATTTTTGTGTTGCATACTATATCATATCTTGGTAGGCAGCGTTTTGTACATATATCTTTTCAAGTTTGCACTGCATCAGGAAGTAAGCAGTACATTAATAAAAAAACATTCCACATACCTTTTTTGCATAATATGCCTAAAGTAATCCTATTATAGAAGGACTCAACTGGATTCTGCTTTTTTTCTGTTGTTTGTATTATAAAATTTAGTTCGAAAAATAAATTTAGTTCGAAAACTTTATAATACAAACAACAGACCTGGAATTTAGTAGGAATTGTTGAAGAATGCTCTGTGACAGAACTAATTTACATCATTTGGATCATGTTATTAATGAGGCATTTTCGATGAAGTGTGACGTGCTAACTTGAGTAATTAATATGGTGCATGTCAAAAATTTCTTAAAATTATTTTGCAGTCACAGATGACAGAACTTAGCATTATCAAATTTCTGTACCGAGAAGAAAACTGGTGAAACACTGAACAGGAAGGTCATGCATATGTGTGCACTTGTGTCCATTATTATTCAGGTGCAAATATGGTTTAGTGGAGTTGCAGCTGTAGTGGAAAGCTGAGCACCAGTCGGGATGAGGACGTAATTGAAGACAATTATTCCAATCTTTCCTTCCTAAATGCAATAGAAACATGAACACGAATGTCAGCAGAAGTCTGTGCAGCAAAAAATATGAAACCACAAGGAAAGGGATGATTTTATTGCACAAGTACCTTTTAATTTTTTTTGCATAGAAACCCGAAAAAACGTGAGAATTTCAATAAGTGGTGGAGAGGTGAGTTTATTTGGTTACACGGTTGATTAAATTTGGTCTTCGACAGATTACTTATTCCCACACATCGCAAAGTATGAACTTTAAATTTTGAGACTTACTCGAACACTCTGGTACATTTGTCATCATTATTGGATTCGAGTATCATTTTTCTTTCCACGCTCATATAGCATTTAATGCACTGTATGTACTGTAAAAACTTGTTTCCAAAAGTATTAGTCATCAGTTTGTAAAATTTTAGGTGAATCTGGCCATTTGGAGCTGTTCTAGAAGCTTTTACTGCTATTGATTTATTACTTGACTTTTGTTCGTTGTGTGCATGTGCTATGTATGTGTATGAGTGTGTATCTGCTTACATCTATAAGTCTGTATCATTTTGTATATCAGAGTCCTTTTTATTGAGTCATTTGGTGATGGTACTATAAAATGGATCAGTGTTTTGTTCTTAGGTGATGCATCGAGCTGAACGTTGCTAATATATTCCAGTAAAAGATATTTTGGTTACCTTCCAGTTATTTTGGTTAAGATCTACCTTCATCTCTACTACATATATATCACATCTATCATCACTACACTTAGGTTAATCTTGTTTTCTGCATTATTGATTCTGGCATTAGATCGTATTCTGGCACTCGTTACACTCATATCGCGCTCAGTTTTCCTGTTCTGGTTTCCGTTGCTTTGTATTCGTCGCATCCATGAGGGTGATCGAATGAGATGCTTTTGAGCGTTCTTCCTGAGCTCTGTCGACTGGTTAAAGCCTCGAAGTGATCTAATTCAATGATTTGCTTCGCGTAACGTATATGGAAGTTCGTTACAATCCATCTCAAATCAACACATATAACGATAATGCCCATGCAAGTCTTTTTAATACTTCTGAAAGAACGAAGACGAAAAAAAAGGGAGAAGATAGAAAAGAGATATACACATGGCACGGACAGAGAGAAAGAAAGGCTACTGCAAAAAGAGTTGGGAACCAAAAAGAAGAATGCTGTGTGCTCGTACAGTCAGAATATCAAAAGTCCGAGAAGAAAATGGAAGATGAACGGAGAGAAACAGCATCTGGAATCATAGTGGAAAACAGTGGGAAAGCAGATGAGGTTGTAGAAAGCTGCGTGAAAGATGTAAGAGAGCAGTCTGCCAGTTTACCGGAGCCAGGAACCAGCAGGATGATTACGCTCGAAGTACGTATTTGGAGAATGGATAGAGCAGCTAGCGAGGCGAAGCTGAAGGCGGTCTTGTTTCTGAAGGATCCGAGAGAATAATGGCCGTTTTATCATCCCTGTATTGTGAGATGTTGTTCGTGTTCACGAACACACGATTAGCCTTCAAGAACTGAAGAAGGAAGCGAATTCCGCAATCACTGAATTGCAGGTTGTTCCATAGTCGCTGAAGTTGTTTTTAGAGCAGACAGATACCTGACACTTGCTGCATATGCAAGTTTATAAAAGTAAAATAAAAAGTAATGAGTCGGCATTCA